CACATCCCCAGTAGGAGATGTGCAGGAGGCAGCTGATCGATGTTCCTCTCTCATCGATGTTTCTAACTCTCTATCTCTCTCCCTTCCTCTCTGTAAAAAATCAATAAAATATATTTTTTTAAAAAATTTAAAGAAAAAAACCTTCATGGGGTCAGTTACATCTTTCAGTATCTGTCTAGAAATGGACTATGATAAGGAAGGCCCTTAATTGATAGATTAGATCTCCCAATCAGTTGCCACCATTACAACCGTGCTCATATAGGCTCCCCACATGACTCCAACGAAACAAAAAGACTGGGATCCCCTGGGCCAGAGTTCCAGAAACTAGGACACGTAGGCCTTATTTTTAGCTTTTTTTTTTAAGCTCCTTATAATTAGATCTGGGATGAATCATTCCACTGCAACATACCATTAGAAGACTAAAAATTTTAGACATGAAAAAAAATGTCCCCATTCCGTTTGAAAGCTCTGTGACCATTCTCTCCTTCCTATTTCTTCCTCCCCACACCCTCCTGCCCAGGGTAAGAAAATGGCTGTGTGCACTGAGAATGTCACTTGTGAGCCAAACCGGCTAGGGCTCTCTTAATGATTTTTTAAAAAACGGACTAGGTTCCACTTGGTCCTAAGATGGCCTATCTCAAGGCAGGGAAGGGGTTAGGGATGGGGTCTGTTTTAACCCCTGGGAGCTGCTGTGTGGGAAGTGCTTCAGAGACCAGCGTGGTGGGATCACTGCAGCAAGGGAGACACAGAGAAGGAATGTGACCCAGGCCAGATGTTCAAAAACCTTCATGGGGCCGAAACCGGTTTGGCTCAGTGGATTGAGGAAACTAGGACACGTAGGCCTTATTTTTAGCTTTTTTTTTTAAGCTCCTTATAATTAGATCTGGGATGAATCATTCCACTGCAACATACCATTAGAAGACTAAAAATTTTAGACATGAAAAAAAATGTCCCCATTCCGTTTGAAAGCTCTGTGACCATTCTCTCCTTCCTATTTCTTCCTCCCCACACCCTCCTGCCCAGGGTAAGAAAATGGCTGTGTGCACTGAGAATGTCACTGACCTCCGGATTCCTGAGGGGGAGTCAGGTTCCTCCAAATCCATCACAGCCTACGTCTGCCAGGCGCTCATCATTCCTCCAGAGGTGACAGGATACAAGGCAGGAGTGTCCTCGCAGCCTGTCAGCCTCGCTGATCGGCTTGTGGGTGAGTAGCCCAGTTGCTGCAGCCTGTGTGAGTGTGTGCCTGTAAGAGAGAGTGAGGCTCCCAGGCTCCGAGGTAAGGGCTCCCAAGGAGGGGCCCAACCTCCGACCTGTTTTCTATTCATCCTGGGGTGCCAAGTGCCCCGGGGGCTTCTGACAAACCTGCAGTTCACCCTTTCAGGAGCCACTAGGGGATGTGATGAGATGAAGGAAGACTGGACGTTGATGGGTATTGAAATAATTGAAGTGGCTGCCAGTGAGAACTAATCAGGAGCTCTGATTTGGCAGGGGTGACAACATATATGACTGTGGATGGAATCACCTCTCCGGCTGAACTTTTCCACCCAGAATCCTTGGGAATACCGGACGTGATCTTCTTTTATAGGTGACGATGGGAGGCCAGACTAATGAAAGTGAAACTTAGGGCTCCTCCACACTTTCTGTTGCATGCCCCACCCCTTCTAGCCATTTAATACTTATCGAGCCAGACCATGCCCAAGGTCTAACAGGTCTGCCTAGCAATGATAGCTAAAGGCTGGGAGTCCCCTGATCCCAGCTTCTTGGGTATTCCTGGGCAGGTCTGTCTTAGAGACAAGGAGTAACATTGGATGGTCTGTAGACTTCTCTTCTCACCTAAGGACACTCAGTGCTATGCACACACTGACCTTCCCTAGGCCAGAGCATTTTCCCCGGACCACATCTTCCTGATCCCTACTTGCTCCAAGTAAACCAAGGGCTGTGCGCTCCCTGTGTGCCAGGCCACAGCCCAAGTCCTGACTTCCCCAGCCAGGGACCTGCTCCATGGTGACTTCACTTAGTGGCTCTCCAGTGGCACAAATGAGTGACTCATTTCCCCCATGGGGGCTGGCTTTCACTGCAGGTCCAATGAGGTGACTCAGTCCTGCAGTTCTGGGAGGGCCACCACCATCCGAGTCAGATGCAGTCCACTGAAGCCTGCCCCCGGAAGTCTGTCCCTGCCCAGGTAAACGGGTAACAAAGTCGCCCTTCCTTGGACTTGTTCCATCCCAAGAGGCAGAGATTACCCAAAAAGAGCAAACAAGAAAACAGTCTGAGAGTCATTATTGGGCTCTTGAGGACATGGTTGTGCTCCAAACCCTCCATCTTCAGATGTTGAGAAAGGAGCAGAGGGAAGAGTCAAAGCTGCCTTCACATTCCCAGACGGTTATGGGAGCAGTTGCATAGCAAAGTGGCAAAGTGCTGGGGCCGAGAGCAGATGTGACTCATCTCCTCTGCTCACAAGCTCTGTTGTCGTGGATACATTTCTCTTCTTCTATAGGCTCCTTCTCCCTTATTTATAACATGGGGATAATAAGAGGTTCCCTCAGGGGGTCCTTGTGAGAATGAAATAAGACATTGAGACTGGAGGACTTCTCAGGGTGCCTGGCGTGTACTTGCTATAATTAGGATTAATAAGGGTTTAGGGCAGCGGTTCTCAACCTGTGGGTCGCGACCCCTTTGGCGGTGGAACGACCCTTACACAGGGGTCGCCTAAGACCATCCTGCATATCAGATATTTACATTACGATTCGTAACAGTAGCAACATTACAGTTATGAAGTAGCAACAAAAATAATTTTATGATTGGGGGTCACCACAATATGAGGAACTGTATTTAAAGGGCCAGAAGGTTGAGAACCACTGGTTTAGGGAATCCCAGAAATCCCTCCATAACTAAAAGATCCAATTCTGAGTTTAAGAGCTGAGTGCAGTACATCGAGAATTCCCAAACTAATTTGATTACAGCATCCCTCATCTCTGCGCCCCCCCTTCTTTTTCAAGTCACACCAACTAACATCTCAAGGAGAACTAGTGCCTTGAGGGAGACTGTTTGGGAAACGATGCTCCTAAACAACTGACCAGGGAGATGGGGAACAAGACAGGATATTTAACTCAACCATGTAAGATCCCTGTTCTTGTTGTCAACATCACAGGAAAGGAACTAAATATCCATGACCTAAAGTCCATCCTTGACCCCCACCGCCAGGAAGTTGCCTCAAAGTGGCTTTTGCAAAATGTCATATGTCCACGGGGAGAACAGGAGCCTCTGAGGGGTTGGTTGGGCAGCATGCTAGAGCTCAGACAGTGTACACCGGCTCTCATCTGATGTAAGGGAAATTAGAGAGCAAAACCTGAGGTAAGGCCTAGGAAGGATCCTGGTGAGGCTTACAGGTTGGTAAGATGGACCAGGCGAGCTCTGCGATGATAGGACTCCAAACAGATTTTCTCCACTGATCCAGCGAGTGAGCTCAAGTCTCCTCTTTGCTTTCTAGCACGTGCTCTGATGGGACCTGTGATGGCTGTACCTTCCACTTCCTGTGGGAGAGCGCAGCCGCTTGTCCGCTCTGCTCGGCCGATGACTACCACGCTATCATCAGCAGCTGCGTGGCTGGGATCCAGGTAGGTTTCTCTGCTTGGAGACTTCCCAGGAGAGAAGGGAAGGTAATATCTGAGTTGCCTGTTTTTCTCCCCAACAGAAGACTACCTATGTGTGGCGAGAACCAAAGCTATGCGTGGGCGGCGACTCTCTGCCTGAGCAGAGAATCACCATCTGCAAAACTATCGATTTCTGGCTGAAAGTGGGCATCTCCGCAGGCACCTGCACTGCCATCCTGCTCACCGTCTTGACCTGCTACTTTTGGAAAAAGAATCAAAAGTACATGATGATGGGTATTGGAGTGTGGGGATGGACAGGGTTGGGAGGAGATCATCTCAGAGAGTAAATTCATGGAGACTTTTTCTGGAGTCAGCCACAGACCCCATGACCCTGGCCAGAGACTTGCTGAGCCACTTATCCCGGGTATGCCTTGGTTGTCCTGACTCCTGAAGAGGGATGGTACCACATGGCAGTCTATAAATAGCTGTTAGAGTCTCCAAAGCAAAGCAAAGAGCATCCTTAATTTGTTGTTAATAATAAAAGTGACTTTACAATTCCAATATTTCTATTAAGCTTTTAGATCCAAGAAAACAGCCAATCTTAAGGAAAAAAGGTCGCTGACCTGGGAGCCAAGATTGCTTAGCCATATGCCCAGCCTAACACCGCTTTCTAGGCTTGAGTTTCCTTACCCACGGAATGGGAAGATCTGTTCAGAGCCCATCTTCTCTCCTGTTTCTGTTTATTCCTCATTTTGGTGTCTTGTCTTTCCCCTTCCCGTCTCACAGACTAGAGTACAAGTACTCCAAGCTGGTGATGAATGCTTCCCTCAAGGACTACGACCTGCCAGCAGCCGACAGCTGCGCCATCATGGAAGGCGAGGACGTGGAGGATGACCTCCTCTATACCAGCAAGAAGACCCTCTTTGGGAAGATCAGATCATTTACCTCCAAGGTAGGGAGCCTGGCCAGTGCCCTGAGGTCAGCCTGGAGGGCTGGAGAAGACACCAGTCCAAGGGTGCCGAATGGCCCCACGTTGTTCTGGGACCACTGCTTTGCTCCCCACCTGCCACACTCTTCTGTCCCCCGACCCTGAAAATCCTGGATTCTGCCTTCTGTATTTTCATACCAATACTCTTTTCCCTGGGGCCCAAGGCTGCTCTTGACCAGGCACCTTCTCTCCCAACTCCAGTTGATGAACTGTTTGGGCCTTTCAACTTCCAGGAGGAGTAGTGAACCATCCATGGTGTAAGAATCATTTCCCCCCTTTCTTTTCTTTTGGAAGGAGGGGAAGAGGTGATCTCTAGATCAACTTCTGCTAGAAGTCAGGCTCTCCTTTGGCCAGTGGTGGGTGCTGTTCCCCAGATGTTGGGCCCTGGCCCCCTGGGGGCTGAGTCATAGCTAAATTTAAGCTGCTCAGCACTGAGCAATTCTGACCTGGGAGCGTTGGTTTTGCGTGGGTGGGTGAGCGAGTTTGAAGCTCATTTAATACAAGTCAGACAGCACTGTCACTGGGCGTGAGGCCAGCAGTGAGCATCCAAGCAACTCCTCCAGGGCCACAGCCCTCTGCAGCCCCACTCGGCCAGTACCCACACCTCACTGGTGCCCTGAACCAACTCATCCAAGCAGGTGTGGGCAGGGAGGGTGGTAAGACAGTAGGAGAGGACAGGAGGGATGGGTGTTTAGACATCCGAATCTCATATCCTTTGTGCTGACCTACCAGGATGGCTCCTTGGCCTTCTTAGGCCTTGATTTTTTAATTTATTTTTTATTGGTGGGAGAACAATTTACCCTGGGATGCTTGAGTCTTTCTGGAACTTCCACAAAGATGCAAAGCAGAGGGTTTGAAAGATTTTTCTTATTCTCTGGCTAACTGAAGGGAGCAAGAATAGTGGGTAGCTTATGTCTCTGTTTCCACAAAGCCACTGAAAGCAGGAATTCCATAAGGGTTCCTTCTGTCACCTATTTTCCATTTCTCTCCTTTTCCCCCCAACTTGCCCCTGTGCAGCAGCCAGCTCCTGTCACCATCTCTCTTTCAGAGGACTCCTGATGGGTTTGACTCGGTGCCACTGAAGACATCCTCAGGAGGCCCAGACATGGACCTGTGAGAGGCACTGCCCCGACTCTCCTGCCTCCTCACCTTGGCACACCACCTTTCGAGCCTGTGGCAATTTGGTGCCAGCTTCCCGCAACACCCGCTGCTGGAAATCTCTTCATTGTGGCCTTATCAGAAGTTTGAACTTTAGATCTTTTGTGTGTTTTTTATAGAGTATCCAAACTCTCCTTTATGCTTGCCTCAAACCTGCCAAATACACCCAACTTTGTATATTACTCCCTTGCTTGCATCTTGTTTCCCAAAATGGTCCAGCCCTCAGAGCCATAGCTTCACCTGCTCATAACTCTTACAGCCCTAGAATGAAAAGAGTTCCCTGTCCTTAAGTATAGAACCTATTCCTCTGTCCTCTCATTGAAGGGCGGAAGCAGCTGGGAGTTTCCCTGATCATGTGCCCTCGCTCTTGATCTCTTCAGGAGAGAGGTTGGGTGAGAGGTTATTGGTGTCCTTGGTGCACCATCTTCATGGTGGCCTGGATTCATCTCCTCTGGGTAAATAGCTCACACTGAGGGTAATGGATAGGCTGAGGGCTGGGAGAGTAAGGCCTGGGTAAGAAGGTTTGATAAGCACAAAGAGAGGCAATGAGGAAGGTTTGGTTTTGTTCTTTTTTTTTTTAATATATTTTATTGATTTTTTACAGAGAGGAAGAGAGAGGGATAGAGAGTTAGAAACATCGATGAGAGAGGAACATCGATCAGCTGCTTCTTGCACACCCCCCACCAGGGATGTGCCCGCAACCAAGGAATCGACCCTGGGACCTTTCAGTCCACAGGCCAACACTCTATCCACTGAGCCAAACCGGTTAGGGCTGGTTTTGTTCTTTAAACTAGGCACTTCCTTCTCTTTTCGTAAGTAAGAGAGAAATATTCTCACTGGAGCCAAAGGAAACAGTTCACTGAGAAAATGCCCAAGGCCCTGGTGGATCTACTCCCCCCGCTTTTTTTTTTTTAATCTCTCACTATCTATGACACTAAAGAAAACCAGGTAACCCCCAAACCCCGATGTCCTACTTCTTTTTACCTGCAGAAATGACAAACCCTGTCAGTGAGGACAACTCCCCATCCCTGAGTGCCCCATTCCTCGAGGCCTGGGCCATCTCATGCTACAGGGGTATCATATTTTGAAAGAACATAAGGAGACCATGGTTTTAACAGGGCTATACTGGGGGATCCAGCCCACAATAGGATGGACCTGAAGTGGTGACACTGGCTTCTAAGTGTAATTCTTCTACTCGGCCAGAGTAAGTAACTTCTAGGCTGGCCAGAAAAGGAACTGACTCACAGGCCCCAAACTCAGCAGCAGAACCAAATCAGTGTCTAAGGAGGAAAAACAAAGGGAAGTGAACTAGGAGTTCACCCAACTGGGACACTTCACACTTTCAAGCCCCTGTCCTGCCTTTTTCCTGTTCTCATCTTCTTTGTGTGCCAACCCACTAAAAAGACTCCTGGCCCCGATTCCTGGCAGCATCCCTTCTGAAAGGTGAGTAAAGCGAGTGTCCTCGGTGGCCCTTTTCTCCACCCTGACACCACCTTTAATGGATGAACTTTAACTAGGATGGTAAACCCAGAGCAAGGACTTAAGTTTCCTTTTCCTTTCTACCACTGACAATTCTCCCTCCATCACTGTCAGGCTAGAATGACCATCCCTTGGTCTAGGGCCCAGATGCCCATGGCCTGTGCCTGTCTCCCTTCTTGAGTGGTCATTGGTGACCAGATGGTAGGAACAGGATGCAGGTGGCACTTCTAAGGGGTTTGTTTGCCACAAAATGGTTTGCTGGTCTTCATTAGCCATTGCTGTCCCAGAAATAGTCTTATAAAAGGGTCCCTGAGGACTGGAGCCCTGTGTGACTCTGGCAAACAACAGCATCGCTGAAGGGAGGCAGCCCCTTTGACTCAACACACCTAGAAGCTTTTCTTCAGGTATCCAAATTCTCCCCCTCTTGTGGGAGTCAGGCTCGCAGACTGCGGCCTGGTTGGAATTTCTCCAAAAGGATGCAGCCAGCCAGCTTCTGAGCTCCAGCCCCAGGTTTTCTGCAGCCTCAGCAACATCCTGGACATCTGCTTGCCCACTGAATAACATGCTTTTGTGACAGAGGCCACAGGATATGCTTAGAAGATTCTAGAAGCTGTAGGACAAAGTACATAACCCATTGACTTCTTTATTCTGACATCTTGAAACTGAGTGTCCCCAGGGCAACCTCAAATCCTACTGATGTAGTCATAGTACTTTAAGGATCTCCTTTACACCATCCCTCAGGTACTGACTCCTGTGGGTCTCCCCTGTGTCCTGCCAGGAACGCCTGAGTTATGCTACGGGGTCTACCTGTAGCTCCCCTGGCAACTTAGACACATGGTAGATACTTTTTAATAGCTCTTTGGAGCTGTAATTCAAATATCACACAATTCTCTCAATTAAAATGCACAATTCAATGGACGTTAGTGTACTCACAGAATTGTGTGTGCATCACCACAATCAACTTTAGAATAGACACATGTTAGACGGTATATGGGAAAAGCCTTATGCCTTTAAGCTAAGGCTATAGTGGTTTGTATAAGCTATTGGGGGAGGGAGTGTGGGCTCAGCAATAAAATATTTAAATCCTATTTGGTAACCTAAAGTCCTAGAACACACAAGTAACTCTCATCACATAGATGTGACCTGTATTTGGTTGGGAATACAAATGAAGATTGTGGCATAGTCAAAGACCAGGGGATTTCTTATGCCAACAAAACCTTTATTTATTTATTTTTTGTCTGACTCTACATTAAAGATATGACTGACTATATTTATACAACAGAAACTTTGTAACGAGTTTTTCAGCTTTGTGAAACCAAATGTTTTTGCGTTATCAAGACTGGATGGGTTTCCTTTTTTACTCTGTATTCCAAGAGTTTGTAGTTTATTAGGGGATGGATATTGCATGTCACATTTTTGTGTGAAATAAAAACATACCTTTCAAGTTGTTTTTCTTGAACATGGGCTGGATGGCTTGACCGTGAGTGGGAACTGGTAAATGTCCTTGAATCTTAAACTGCAGAAGAGAAGGGTTCTGGATCCTTCAGAGAAAAGAGCATCCTCTGAAGCAACACGCCCTGGGCTAGCAGCCGCTTACACCTGTTGAGGAGTCAGCCATCAACCAAAGCCTCAGTTTCCACCATATAAATGCATTTAATGATGCCTCACCTCCCAAGGCTGAGTAAAGTCCAAACGAGAGGTCACATCAAACACGTAGCCTGTCAATTCCCTTCCCTTCCAGCTGAGCTTTCTCTCGGGTGGCACTGAGGCCGGCCATGTAACCAAGTGTCTACAAATCCAAGTTCAATGAGCTTGTTGGGGCCTGAGGTGGATTATTATGGACTAGATAAAATCCTAGAGGGAGTCAGGAACCATTTCCCAGGAGAGCTGGGTTTTCCTGCGTCTGTTTCTCCTGCATTCTAGTTGGGGGCACTTAATCTCCTCAAAGGACTTCTTCAGCTGGTTGGTTATGAGCCACATCTGTTTTGGCTGAGTGGTACCTGCTCTGTCCTGGTGGGTTAAAGACTTTAAATATAGCCCCTGCTTCTAGGGTAAAGTTGTAAGCCAGGGTGATATTTACCTTCCTCTTTAAAAGGAAAGTAGAAAAGGCATCTGTGCGTCAAGCCTGAACTAAGTGCCCACCTAGTTCTCAGAACAGCCCTTAACGGCGGGTACTCTTCCCACTCTAACAGATGAACTGCACCTCCAATGGAGTTAGGCATCCAAGGTCCCCAGCAGCCTAGGCTACACTAACCACACGGAGCTTTAGACTGTCCCTCATCATAAGCTGTTTCACACCTCCCTGCCTGGCGTATGTCTTTGCTCCTCCCCTTCCTTTTCACCTGGTAGACCTCACCCCGTCCTCAAAGTCACCCCACTGTGAAACCTTTTCTGGCTCACCCACTGGGGATACAATAGGGAAGAAACAATTATATGGGCAAAGTGCAGTTAATTTTTATTAATTCAACCATATACTGTGCAGTGTCCCAATGCATCAAACAAGAAGCAGACATGACCCAACTTGAAACTGTGCGTGTGTGTATGTGTGTGTGTGTGTGTGTGGCGGGGAGATGTGTGAATGATTTTAAGGACTTCCCAATCAGACAAAAGAAGTGAAACACATTGTCAGATGACCAGGCAAGAAGATACTGATGACTTGGTCTAAAACTTAAAGACATTTAATTGACTGAAAACCACAGAGCAACAATGGCTATTGCAGCGATATAGAAATTGATGGCAGCCTTGGCTGGATTGCAGCATCATCCTTATATGCCAAAGTTACGGGTTCAATCCCCAATGAGTGCATAAATAAATGGAACAATAAATCAATGTCTCTCTCCCTTTCTTTCAAATTAATAAATTTTTAAAAATGATGGAGGGTTGCATATACAAAACTTTATGTATAACTGAAGAGCTATTCAAGGAGAGTCTGGAATATAATTTCATTTTATCGCTAAAGGTAACAATCCCACATAAAGTGCAATTTTCTGAACAATACCACGTGGTAGGTAGGATAATCGACAGCTCATTCCAATTCTAACAGAGGAAGAGGTGGGATCAAAGTCGCCAAGGTCCTGGCAGCTTTCCCTGAACAGTGCTATTTTTACATGGTTCCTCCTTGGCTATCCAAGGACAGCAACATCGCCCTCTTTTGTTGATGTGACTCTGAGAGAAGGGAGTGGGCACCGAGAACTGGAGATTAGGTTGTCCGTTTTGCCTAAAACAATGGGATAAATGTCACTGTACTGTAAGAACCTAGAAGGGAGCCAAAATCAATCATGGGGTGAAGAGAGTATCAGAGAAGACTTCCTGGAGGAAGAGAATAGCCAGTTTGAAGGAAAAGGAGAGAGAAACAGAGTTCCAGGCAGAAGGAGCTTGTATGGAAGCTCAGAGGCAAGGACGGGGAGCCACCAGTAGCTTGGGGCGGGGGGGGATTCCAAGAGATAGGGAACATGTTAGGGGGCAGGTCATGAAGGGCTTTGCAAGCCATGTTTGAACATCCTCCTGAGAGTAACAGGTAGTCACTGAAGGCTTCTAGCAGGGGAGTGCGAGGTTAGGGCTTGCTTGTCAAATACTGAGAAATCCTATTTCAAATAAAAAATAAAATAAAAAAGAGGAACAAAAAGAGCAAAAAGTGTGTTAAAGTGAGGCCAGAGAGAGCCCTTCCACATTAGCCAGTCTGAAGGGGAAGTTGGGGGGTGGGGGGGGCGCGACATTGAGGATGGCATCTATGGCTGGGCTCCCCACCCTTTTACTTGCTCTCTCCCTGCAGGTACTCATTCCCCCTGGGCTGCCCACTGTTAGGTTTGATCAAATAATTGAATCCATACCCCTCCCCTGGGAACTGACCTTTAGTCCACTTCACAGCGGACATCCCCTTCGGACATTCCCTTCCGCTTAGACCACATTCCACTTGCTGAGACCATTATCTCTCCCCTCTGGACTTTCCCAGAATCCGGAGCCGCCCAGAGAATTCCCCGCCCAGAAAAAGTCCCCCTAGCGTCCTTTAAAACCTCTGACTCCCCATCCCTGGGTGCTGGTGCCAATTTGGGGCTCAGCCTATCTGGTTTTCCAGATCACCTAATAAATTCATAATTCTTTACCCCTTTCGGCCTCGTGCATTCTTCCCTCGGTGACCCTAACACCCACTAGTTGCCCAGCGCTTCCAAAGCAGTCGCTCACCTAGAATTGTGTTCCCCAAACCTGCAACAAGCTTCTACCCTCAGCCCACTCCCTGCAAGTCTCTCACCCAAAGGGAATGTAATAAGCATCTTCCAGATGTCAGATTCTCTGCTACGTCCTGTGGAGATATACAAATATCCAATGGTATCTGCCTTATATATTAAAAAAAAAAAGCCAAATTTTTCTTAAAAAGTTCCTCAAGACCCTGTTTTCTGCTAAAGGATGTTAACAAAAGTATAAGCCCAAAATGAGACTCGCAGGCATTTACCAGTGCTCAGGTTTTAGCTCTATTACTTAGCTTCCGTGGGCCTGTTTCCTCATAAAAAAGGGGCTGATCTAGCTGCGGACATCCCCTTCGGACATTCCCTTCCGCTTAGACCACATTCCACTTGCTGAGACCATTATCTCTCCCCTCTGGACTTTCCCAGAATCCGGAGCCGCCCAGAGAATTCCCCGCCCAGAAAAAGTCCCCCTAGCGTCCTTTAAAACCTCTGACTCCCCATCCCTGGGTGCTGGTGCCAATTTGTGACTCAGCCTGTCTGGTATCCATATGACCTAATCCACTTATCAGCCCGTACCACTTCGGCCTCCTGCGTTCTTCCTTCGGCGACTCTGACATATTCACATTCTCCAGGCCCGGGACGTAAGTGTTTAGGTATCTTAATGCCTCTAAATTCTGTTCCCATTTTCTCTTCTGGATATTATCTTCGGATTCCCTCCTTCCACAAGACAAGACAATATCAGAATTGGCTGTTTATTCTCTGCATCTGTGCACTAAAGGCCGAATCAAAGGCACCTGTGCTTTGAAAAGTAGTGATTTAAACCCCCTCAAAAAAAAGCCAAATTTTTCTTAAAAAGCTCCTCAAGACCCTGTTTTCTGCTAAAGAATGTTAACAAAAGCTTAAGCCCAAAATGAGACTTGCAGGCATTTACCAGCGCTCAGGCTTTAGCTCCATTACTTAGCTTCCGTGGGCCTGTTTCCTCATAAAAAAGGGGCTGATCTAGCTGTTTCCCAGCTGGGGATCCTTGAACCCCTAAATCCTCAGATACAGCACCCAAGGGCTCTTCTCAGTAAGAGAGGCTAACAGAAACCACACATGCAAAGGTGGTATGGCTTCACACCATCTCTCCATGACTAAAGTATCGTGTGTGTGTGTGTGTGTGTGTGTGTGTGTGTTTATCCTTGTATATGTCCAGGTTTACATACATTACCTCACTGAAGTGGAAAGAGAAATCCGCTTCTGGCAGTAACACTGGTTATTTCCTGATAGCCAGAAATTCTAGTTGGCAGCCATATATGTTTTAATAAGAAGGGGAAATGAATTATTGCCGCGCGCTTCTGGCAGTAACACTGGTTATATCCTGATAGCCAGAAATTCTAGTTGGCAGCCAGATATGTTTTAATAAGAAGGGGAAATGAATTATTGTTTTCTAAATCCTGTTTGTTAGACAGAGGTATTTCAAAACATGAGGAACAAGGTGATGAAAAGATTAGGAATAGGTTAGCAGATAGGTAAGATTTCCCTCCAGCTCTAAAAATCCTGGGATTCTAACTTGATAAATGAAGTATGCCATTATATTCATTTTTGTATTTATCAGGTAACATGAGCATTTTAAAGGAAGATGTTTGTAATCTAATGATAAGACTAACAGTGAGGCTAGCTGGTGTGCCTCAGTGGTTGAGCACTGACCTATGAACCAAAAGGTCACCGGCTGGATATCTGGTTGTGGGCTTGATCCCAGTAGGGGGCATGCAGGAGGCTGCCAATTCATGTTTCTTTCATCATCCATGAATGAGTGGTGATTTTTGGTATTGAGTTGGGAATATGTTGGTAGCAGTGGCAACAGTAGATGCTACTTGCAGGGCTATGAAAATTCATGGAACATTTGAAAACTGACAAGTCATTCAGGAAAGCTGTAGCAGAGAATTTTCGTAGAGCGGAGTGACAAGGGATGAGTCTGAGAAACAAGCGGGAGCAAGATCACAAAAGGTCTGGAGTATAGTGCGAAATGGTCTTTTACGTCAGATGAGGCTAAGAGAAGACTGATAGATCCTCCCTTCCCGCAACTGGTGGGCAGAGTATGATGTAACCTGCAGCCCGGAAATACCTGAGTGACTAACCATGGACCTTATATGGACTATACATTGAACCACCAATCAACACTTGCCAAATACCCTAAGCCCTTGTTCCTCTGTGGACCATACATTAAGCCACCAATCAGCGCGCACCAAGTACACTAAGCCCCCATTCCTTCCCTCAAATGGAGTGCCCACCTCTGCACGGCTTGCTGTTCTCCCTTGCGAGACTGCCCGGCAGGTGTTTTTCCCCTAAGAAAGCCAGTAACCTGGTTTTCGGCTCCCGACTGGCCTCTCAAAGGTACACTAAGCCCCCATTCCTTCCCTCAAACGGAGTGCCCACCTCTGCACGGCTTGCTGTTCTCCCTTGCGAGACTGCCCGCCAGGTCTTTTTCCCCTAAGAAAGCCTGTAATCCTGGTTTTCGGCTCCCGACTGGCCTCTCAAAGACTAATGGTGAAAATTCCTAAGGAAATTTGGAGAAGCCTGACATTAGAGTCATCCTTTCAATTATATGAATGTCCTCCTTAAGCATTGGCACAGGGGCCCTCCTCCCCTGGGCCTGGGCCCCAGTGCAGCCTCGGGGTGGGGGGGTACACGCAGCATTGCTAGGAAACTTGGCAAACAATACACTTTGGCAGCACCTGGCCTTCGCTGATGCAGCAGGGCCACTCTTCTTAGCAAACTCCGCCCTCAGCTCAGAGAACTCCAAGCTCGGAGGACAGTCTTCTTATGTGCTTTCTTCAGAGACTGCAGCTCCCTACGCTCCCTTTCCACTGGTTTTAAACCTAACATCCTAGGCAAACTGACCCGAGGGGGGCCAACCCAGAAATCCCCTCCCCACCCTCCGCCTCCCTCGGGACCTCTAGTGTCCGCTCCCCCACTGCCAAGAGCCCCGCCCTCCATCCCAGGGTTAGCGGGGCAAGGCCCTGGGGAGCACGTTGGGGAGCAAGGACAGCGGTGGGGCAGCCTCATCGCAGCCCTGCAGGTGGGTAAGACCAAGGTCTCCGACCAGCTAGTTTTGGGGTGGGGGGGGTAGGGGGGGGTCTCAAGTCCCTGTAAGGTGGGAGGATGGGGGAAACAGAGCCCTGCTCCCAAATCCCCCATCTCTCTCCTTACCAGGGAGATTCTTTGATAACTTCGGCTCCACCCGCAACCAGAACTTTACGGTCAAGGCCCGAATGTTACAAAAGGAAGTATGAGGGAACCTTTGCTCACGTTCTCAAAGACCCTCAGGCATGAGCTCAGCACCTGCACCGCCTTCCCTGGTACCCGTGTCCCGCTGGGAACCGTCTCTCCGTGACTCTCTGCAAAGATGCCCAATGCACTTCCCTGACCCTGCGACCTTTTTTTTCCTGTTTTTGTTGTGAGTGTGTGTGTGTGTGTGTGTTCCTTCTTCTTTTACACGTGTTTTCTTTTTTCCGACCCGATGCTCTTAAGGTACCACCTTTCCCACCCCCCCACCTCCCGTTCTTGTTGTGTGTGTGTGTGTGTGTGTGTGTGTTCCTTCTTTTACACCTGTTTTCTTTTTTCCGACCCGATGCTCTTAAGGGCTGGTAAAGGGACAATCTGGTTTACCCAGTAATTAGATTAAGAAATGCACCCCAGCCCTGGCCGGTGGGGCGCCCTGGGTAGAGTGTCGGCTCTCGCACCAAAGGGTCTCCGGTTGGACTCCCCATCGAGGGCACGAACCTGGGGTGCAGGTTCCCAGCCCCAGTGTGTGCGCGCAGGAGGCAACCAGTCAACGTGTCTCTCTCTCTCTCTCATATCAATGTTTCTCTACCCCCCCCGCTCCCTTCCACTCTCTCTAAAAATCAGTAAAACAGGACATCCTTGGGTGAGGATTAACACAATTAATTAAAGGAGAGAAAGAAGTGTATCCTAGTTCCAAGGGCTCTAAGGCGGGAGAGCAGGAATCTTGGGCTGAGGAACCCAGGGACTAAAAACTGGAGAAGAGAGCAGAGGAAGGCGAGAGGGTCCGGTGAGGACCGCAGCCTGGGGGCCGGAAACCGGCCTCCATTGGAGGCGCCCGCTTCCAAGCTCTCCCGCCGGCAGGCGCCTGTCCAGCCTGAGGTAGGCCCTTCACACGAGGAGGAAACTGAGGCACTCACCTTCCCGGGGCAGGGAGAGCCCCTACAGACAGGGGAAGAGCTGGGGAGAAAGCACTAGAGGGGGACCGAGCCGGAGAAGCCCACGCCCATGCGTCTCCTCCGCGGCCCGCCTTCCTCCCCGAGGCCCCGCCCCACACACAGCCGCTTCCGGCGTCCGGGGGCGGGGAGGCGGGGGGAACGCCCGCGCGCAGGCGCAGTGCATCGGTCACTGGTTGACTCCCTGGCTGCGAGCTTCATTTCTCCTCATTGTTGACCGGGGAGAAGGAAAGATGGTGTTGGATCTGGACTTGTTTCGGACGGATAAAGGAGGAGACCCGGACCGCATCCGAGAGACGCAAAAGAACCGCTTCAAGGACCCGGGACTCGTGGATCGGCTGGTGAAGGCGGACGGCGAGTGGCGAAAATGTGAGTACCGGACGTCCCCCATCTAAGCCCAACTTCAGCTCTCGGATCTCGTTCCCGCTCCTGGAGCCGCAGCTCCCGCCCCTCGGGAGATCCCCCTCCCAGGATGCGGTGGCTCCGAGGCGTTCCTTATCCCCCAAAACGCTTGGGTAGCCCGGACCGCGTCCCACTTTTCCGTCAGCCGGTTGGTGCGTGCCCCTACTCCCGGGCGTGCTCGGTGCGGATCGGTGGTCTGGGAAGGAGCATGGCGCATGCGCATCAAGAGCTGTCAAGGCTTCCCCCTGCACGGGTCGCCCCGAGAAAACCAGGGCGGGAGGTTTCCCCTTTCCCAGCACTTATCTTTGGTCACCTCCCGGCCTTTCTCTCTTGGTCCGCAAGGCCAGCGTGATCTCCTAGTTGGATAGGATGAAAGGCTCCAGCCCGAGTCACATCTGCAGCGTGATAGCTTCGCTCCACCCACATTGGAAGCATTCGGGGTCTTTAGAGCCCGCTTCTGCCTAAAAAGCAGTGATCCCGGAGCTGTGGGGAGAGCCGTCCCCCTGGTTTCTGATCATACCTTTAAAAATGGCGAAAAGTCTGTTCCGCGGTAGGTCAGGCATGGGGAGAGGGGCTGCGGCGAGGCAAGACAACGCGTGTAATTATTGAGGCGGTGTCGTTGTGATTTGTGGAAGTTTTCCGGGAAAGATATTGGTAGAGTTTGGCCAAAACCTGGAACCGAAAATAAAATCATAGAATCCTTTGCCTGGGTTAACTGGAGTAGTCCCCGATTGGCCGGATGCTGTCAAGCACATGTGATTTTTGTCTGATGCAATAAGTCTGCAACCAGCTGAGAGCCAAGTTTATGACAGCACACTGCAAAGGCAGTCTCTGTCCAAGAGTGCGGTGGCTTTCTAGTAGGAACACTGGTTTTCCTGAGTTCATAAGGGTATTGGGTACCAAGAGAGCATTTGTTTAACTCGGGTTGCCTGTTAATTCCATGTCTCAGTCACTCTAATGTGGTAGTTTTTGACTGTGAGAGCCTACCACCTGAATCTGAATTGTAATGGAATTAAATTAATTGGAAGGAAAAAACTTGACTGAACACTGTTTTACTGAATCAGAAGTATCGGATTTTTGTTATCCGGTTACCCATTGTTCCGCAGTAAATGCCTTTGAGTATGTGAGCTCTTCTCTTGTGGATAACTTACACATCTACAGGGAGTTTTATCCCTTTTGTAATGAATGGATATATGGTGATGGTGAGAGGGGTGAGTTCTTTAGGGACAGGGCTGTGGTGTATGCATCTGTATGTCCCAATACCTACGGTATACTAGTACATATGCATACAGGTTATATATGTACACATGTATACATAGATGCCCAGTACTTAGCACTGCACCTGCTCCTTGGTAAGGTCTTGACAGAGGTTTCGCTTGTTTGTTTTTAAAATATTTTTATTGATTTCAGAGAGGGAGAGAGAGATAGAAGCATCAATGATGAGAGCGAATCACTGATCGGCTGCCTCTTGTACACTCCCCCCCTCGGGATCGAGCCTGCAACCCGCGTATATGCCCTTGACCGGAATCGAACCTGGGACCCTTCAGTCCGCAGGCTGATGGCTCTGGTCTATCCACTGAGCCAAACCGACTAGGGCGACAAAGGTTTTTTAAATTCATGAATATCTTCTGTGTTCAGGGCCTTTGCCCTTCTGTATGAAAAGCAGTTTATTTCGTTTATTTTCCACACATCTGTGCTTTGATTCTTTTCTACTTAGCACCCCTTTCCAGCGTTCTCTTTGCAGCCAGAGGGAGTTCATGAGTTTTTCCCAAGTTGTTGGCCGCCCGAGTCGGACATTGACAGATCTTGCATCAAAGTTCTTTTATATCCAAACCTCAGATCAGAAGTTGGGGCTCTCCTGTCATTGGCTGCAACAAGGACTTGTAACCCTGAGCCACACTAAGAACTCATCGTGTTCCCTGGCTGAGGACACAGCGAGCCTCAGAAGGGCCTCCATGACAGCGGTACCTATTTGTCTGCCTGTACACCTCCAAGGTGCCACGGGGGCTCTCAAAGGAACTGGGTAAAACGTGGAGCCCTAGCACCACAGATTTTACCACGGCTCTCACAGCTCCAAGGATTCAAACCATGATTTCTTTTTTTCAATTCAGAGTAATAGGCTGAGGACACATTTGGGCATATGATAAGCATTTCTATGGGCAACTTCTGAAGCCACTGCATTTCCACCTATCTTGCAATCTGCTAACCACCAGAATTTTATCCTCCCCCCAGAAGTGCTATTCCGAATGAGATTTCTCTTTACTATAAATTGAAGTTGTTATTTCCTCTTAACCTTTACTGCAGACTCCTTCAGCCAGGCCTTTGTCATTGGAAAACTCTACTTTCAGTTTCACCCCCGTCTCACCCAGTCCTGGCCCCACCCAAGGACACGTGAAATGAAAATCTAGTCATTTTTGCTTCCAGGCTTGAGTCTTGCAGTGACTTACATCCCTGAAATCTGTCTGATAGAAAAACAACGTGAGCCACAGGTATAATTATGGCTCTTCTTGTAGCCACTTAAAAAAATGTAATGGAAAACAGATGAAATTAATTTTAGGAATATATTTTATTTAACCCATGATCCAAAATTTACATTATTAACACACTGGGGATTGAGCCTGCAACCAGGGAGTGTGCCCTGACCGGGAATCAAACCATTATCTCCTAGTTCATAGGTCGACGCACAACCACTGAGCCACGCGGGCTGGGCTAAAGTTCAGTTTAAGTGTAAAGTTT